CCCCACATGTACTTATTTGCTATGAAGGGAAAGCAATTGGTGCAAAGTGTCCAGCTTATGGACACTGCGTCATAATCCATTCACTCTCATGCATTTTCCAGCATTTTTTTAACATTTGATAACATTCCTCTTTTTCGGCATCCATTTCTCCCTTCTCTTTTCCCTTTAGCCGAGATTCTACGAGAGATTCGCAAACAGAAATTTGAGAAGCCTTCCACAATACAGGTACAAACAAGGTTTTTGGTTTGAAAAAAATCTGATAATGAAGTTCGTCAAATACAAAAGTCCAGAAAAGTCCCCCCCCCCTTGAAAAAACCCTGACCCCACTTCTACTGACATCCCCGTCAGTTTAAATGTATTTGTCATGGGAAATGTGATAGAATTGTTCTGTACTTCACAGTTATTACTGCTGTGCATCAAGCCATTATATTGGTTTTGTGGTTCTCTGTCCTCATGGGCACTCATTTGTACTCCCGACATGGCAATTGTCGTAAAGTATCTTGCATAAGAACACAGGTATCTTGTGGATTGATCCTGTACTCACGTGTATGAGTCAAACACTGTAACTGTTGACCTGTGATGTTCTGTGAATTTCAGGAATCCCCCAATAAATACAAATTCAAGAAAACAGCTTTTGGTTTTTTTTTTTTACTTGCATTGGTTGGGACGGGAGAACATGCCAGTTGTTTCTTACCTCATCCCTCGTACCCTTGAAGACGACCCAGCAGTTAGCACATTGTCTAATTGATTTGTTTACAGTCGCAAGGCTGGCCCATTGCTTTGAAAGGTCATGACCTTATCGGCATAGCCCAGACGGGAAGTGGCAAGACGTTAGCCTTCCTCCTACCAGCTCTTATCCACACTGACCTCCAACCAACGTGAGTTTTTAGGAAAACAGTGGTGAAGCAACCGGTAGTGTGCATGGAAAGGGTCAGGGTAACTGCAAAGTTAGAAGAAATATTTATCATGTTGTCTTTGAGTAATGTGATTTTAAGTATTTATAGTGCAGACATGAGTTTGTGAAGTTGTGTGAATGTACAAGCATGTGTCTTGGAATAATGCATTGACGAGATTGCAGCAACAACATCCTAGTTGAAGCCCTAATGGCTAGTGTAAGAGTCATGACACCATCTACATCCCAAAGGAAATCCCGCCCCTCGCTTTGGATTTCCTGTACTCATGTAGAGTTTCAGGTTGGATAGTCTTCAGTTTTGGTCTTTCCTTTCCCCAGACCGAGGGAGCAGCGCAGTGGTCCCAACGTCCTGGTCCTGTCCCCAACCAGAGAATTGGCCTTACAGATTCATGAGGAAGTCAGCAAGTATTCTTACAAGGGTATCAAGAGGTTGGTAGGACTGTGTAGAGCCTGTCTAATTACATCAGTGTAGCTGAAATGAGTTAATTGTTTACCAACTTGTGGACTAAGTAGTATTTTTGTCTTCGATCTTGATCCTGAATGTGAGCCCAACCTAACAGAATCAGTCATGTGTCACAAGAGCCACTTTTAAGTTACAGGTGTTACAATGATTTTGAATTACGTCTACCGATAGGATCCCTTGACTTGTTTACCCGCATAATGCCAATTCCTCCAGGATGTTAAAACAAACAGCTGAGTTGGCTCTCTCTGATGACAAATCAAACTTTAGAGAGTTTTATTCCGTAGGTTTTCATGAATTTCACATTCGTTCATAGCATTTTTTTTTATTTTGGCCTCTGTGAATCGTTATAGTTGAGTGGAGCGTTTGTACAGTTTAGGCACATTCTATGCTCAGTGCAAACAGTGATTTTGGTTTTTCTGTAGAAGAATTATGTAATGATACGTATTATTGTTTGTAGTGTGTGTGTTTATGGTGGCGGCAACAGAAGGCAACAAATCAATGTTGTTCAGAAAGGAGTCGAGATAATCATAGGTAGGTTTTTCTGCTACCCTCGTGATAAGTATGCTGCATTTGTGCGTGTGTTTCAAAAATAACGGAAAATATATATCACGGGCCATTGCACAAATGGACTGGAATTTAGGGAAGACTGAAGTTTTGATGTATTGAGTTTAATTTTTTTTATATGCTGGCTCATGCCTTGGATTTGATAAAATGTGACGTCCGTGGCAGTGGTAATTATGAAGCTGGCCCCGGTGTTCAAAAGAAAAGGGGAAACTTGTGACAAATTTATTACTTTGCTTAGAACACTGCTATTTGTCATTAACATGGCCTAGTTAAAGAGTGAAATTGGCGCTCATGGCTATGGCTGTTTACAGTAGCGTGCTATTGCCATAAAATACGAGATTCGGTCTGGGCTGACTTCCGTACAGTCTGTCCAATAACTTACCTGTTTTACCCACAGCCACGCCCGGCAGATTGAATGATCTAATCATGAATGGGATTGTGGACGTCAAATCAGTGACATTCCTGGTGAGTAGGATTTGAGTTGGTGCAGTAGCTAAAATAGTAAGATAGGGCTCAGGTCGGGGGTCATGGGGGGTGGGGATATAAAATAACACCAGTTCTTCCCCTCTGGAGAATACATCTGATGAGAAAATTTGGAAGTATATCACGTTCAGACACAAGTAGCTTATTAAGGGGACAAAAATATGACTGAATACCTTTTTCAATTTTAATTGCAAAATAGGTGATTTCTTGTTTTAGTACTAGTCCCAGTGCACCAAATTATGGACCTGCAAACCTTTTACTTTGGTAGACTTTCACCTATGTTTTAGTCCAATTTGTTTTTTGCTGGCCTGTAAATTTTCTCCGCTAATCGACAAGTAAAATTGGCAGGCAGAAAACCTGGGCCATTCAGATTTATTTTGGTAGGCTCTCACACGAACTTACCTCGAAATTCCTCTGATGGCAGTTTGTTATTGATCTCTTTTCAAGAATAGATATCTGATTTACATCATCATTTTCAAGAGTACTCTTTGCTAGTCCGCCATCCTCAAATATCACATGGTGGTCTTCTGCAGGTTCTGGATGAGGCAGATCGCATGTTGGACATGGGGTTTGAACCCCAGATCATGAAGATCTTACTGGATGTGCGACCAGACAGACAGACCATCATGACGAGGTGAATTGACCCAAATACATGTCTCAAACATGCCGTGCTCAATATGCGTGGCTGTACTTAGTTCGGGCTTGATGCTCATTTCAGGCACTAGCCTATATACTATGAACCAGGCGAGCGCCTGTTGGTTAACGTGCTGGTTCTCGCCGTAATGCCTTTTACACGCGTAAATGTGCATGTGACCTATTCAACTGAGTACTCTATAAAGGACAAACTTCATGTGCAAAGAGCGCTACCTGTAGCTCACTGTGCAGAAAAGGGACCAGCTTTCATTTGAATGCACACAAAACTGTTAGGTTATCGTGTGAGAGGAGCGCACATGCTCAAACAGGACATGTGGTTGCAGTTGTGCTAATTGTCCCCTGTAGTAGTACTTTACATATTTTACTGCAGGGGACAGTAAATTATTCCTAATTATCCTAACCCTTAGGATCATACAAGGGTTATTGTCGGGGACTTCGGAAGAGTTTAATGGAGGGATCTTTTGTTTGTCTTCTTTCAGTGCTACTTGGCCAGAGGGCGTGAAGAGACTGGCCAGAAAGTACATGAAGAACCCATTCCACGTCAATGTTGGCTCCTTGGACCTCTCGGTAAGTACACAAGACTTGTATTGTGCATCTCTGTCAGACTCATTGTCTCTTCCCGTTGCACCTGTTCAAACCCCTTCATTGTTTGTCACCTGAGCGCTGTCCTTACTGCTTCGTTATCTTCTTTACTTAACAGTGTATGGAAGTCCTAATGCATCAAAAGCCATTGCTTTGTACATTGTGCATGAACACACAAACCTGCATGAACCTGAACACAGTCCACAGAGTGTTGTATGTATTCTAAAAGCATAAATTAAAACTCCAAAAACCCAAGGGATTGAACTGAAATCCTAATGGGTCCACCAGTGTCAGTAATGCAGTCTCCTAAGGATCGCAAGCCAGCTATGTGACCTTGAAACCCCGGTCAACCCAGAGCTAGTCTCATGGGCCTACAGTCCAACCTCTCCATAACTAAATAATGGGGTCTCCTCCAGTTGTTTTAAAGCCCCATAAAAACCTTACCGCTGGAAAGTTTGGAGAGTCCTGCATGTTGTCCATATAGCCATCATTAATTCAGCGTGGGAAGGAGGGATTATTGCTGGGTGTTGATTTTGACTGTGGGTTTGTATTCAGGCATGCCACAGCGTGACTCAGTTGGTGGAGGTCATCGATGAAGAATACAAGAGGGAGCGGGTAAGGCTGCCTGTTTTTTTTAACCCCTGTTTGAAATTGCTTTAGCCTGGAGTTGAGTGCTTCAACTTTCTCAGTAACTACAGATCAGAGTGATCGGTTATGCAGGGTCCCTCTTATGTGGTGATAGGTTGGCATTGGTCAAAATATCAGCGATCAAAGTCACCTTTACCCTACTAAGAAATGGGAATAATGAATGTTTCAGTGGTCCCTACAATGACAGACGCCTTATTTACTGATCAGAAAGTGCCTCTGCCAGAAACATGGTATGTAGTAGGTATGTAAGCATTCATGTTTGTTCTTTTTTCAGGACTGTTGTAGCAGAAGGATTGAAGAGTATTTTATCTTTCTTGGCATTTAAAGAAAGAGTGTTATGACGCTTAATTCCTCTAATTTCATGAAATACACTGTCAAAACTCAGTTGATACTCACTGCTCATACATGTAGTGTTAATTTTATTGAGAACTTTATCAGCCTTGCAATAGGGAAGTTCGATCAAGGACCACTAATGAACTAGTGGTTAGTTTGTGATGTACCTAGAGCATGTGCAGTGAATGACCCTCAGTGGTCAACTGTTGTCAGGTCATTAGGCCAAAGGGGAAAAAAGGTGGCCGCAGGAAGGGCAAGATGGCAAAAATGAAAGTTCAAATGGTCGTTTACTAGTGGCATATTGTTTTTCCGATATTTTTCTCATAACTCGTCCTCTCTGCACTGTGCGATTAAAAATGATGTGTGGCAACCAACGATGCGAATAACTTTGATAGGCCGGTCACGAATAGTTGATAAGACGAGCTCAACCACCATCGACCAGCGTGCGTTCGATCATGGGTAACTATGGTCCTTGATCCAACTTGCCCTAAATTTGTAGACATGGGTGGTTGTATTAAATTACCTATTTGTTACACCTTTGGTACAATCCTTGCTCCATTTGCTACCTGGTTGATTCTGTAGCTGATTGAGTTCATCGAAAGCCTTCAAGAAGATGAGAAGCTACTCGTGTTTGTTGGACGCAAATCCATGTAAGTTTTTACAGTGAAGTGAGTTTTGAAATGATATATCCTGTTTTGTGTAATGGATTGAAGATTTTCTCTTATTCAATGAAAGTTTACCTGACACTAGGAATTTCAACACCGTGAAAATGCAGTTTCACCGTGAAATTGCCGTGAAGATTTTTTTCACAGCAAAGTAAGGTCCTTTTCACGGTAGGAAGTGGGTCACTTCTGCAGATGAGCAGCTCACAGCAATTTCACGGCGTTTTCTCTGTGCACACTAGGTCTTGTGTTATCCATAACGGCATGTAGAGTGTATTATGAAGCAAGTCCCCGAGATAGCTGTGTGTTGGCAGTACTCATGAATGCCATTTGCGTCAGTGCTTTCTTGCTTTAGCCAGAGCAGTTCACTTGTGCAATGCAATGCAATGTTCTCCCGTGTGCATAGTCAATGTATTTCAGTTTGTAAAAGGGTGTTGGAATCCAGCCTTTTAACTATTTCAACCTTTTTGTATAGATTTTTACTCTGAATTTTGGCTTTTTTTGTACACCTGCTCTTTTCAAAGCTGTGATAACTTTTTAAGTTTTAGCTTTTGACAGACGTTTTCATAATTTTTTGTTTCTATGCAGCCTTTCACTCCCCAGAGTTGTTAGCCAAAAAAAAAAGGAGTTAATTTTTGGATAAATGAAATTGAGGTTTCTATTTTTACTGTCTGTGCCCTTTGACCGTCAAGAGAACCATAGTGGCCTGCAACCTTTCTGGTCAAGCGCACAATACCAGCTCTCATAAGGTGACTGGTGTACAGCATCCATGGCTTGCTTGAGCCAGGTGAATTTGGCATGACCACAAAGCCGTCTTGCAGGTGGCAGGTCATTGAAGTTGGATTAGAACAAATGCTGTGTTGTGCTAGCATTTCACTGGTGGTATCACAGCAAGCCATTCCAGCTCTCCCCATTTGTTGAGCACTTGGCCATGGGGCAGCTGGTGCCGGACAGTTGGCAGAGCGCCAGCACAGAATTCCAGCAGTTGCCAATCTAAATCCTGCTTCAGTCAGTTTTCCTTGTTCACCGGAAATAGCGTTGGACTTGCTCTGTTGACATCAACAGGGCAGATGAACTCTCCTCGGAGATGTCACTTCTGAACATCTCCGTGCAGTGTATCCATGGCGACAGAGAACAGTACGACAGGGAGCAGGCGTTGTCTGATTTCAAAGATGGTGAGTGAGTGAAGTGTCGCGTGCCAGTGGCTGTATGTCCTATGCGTAACATTAGGGTCATTTCGTTAGTTCACTTGAGTTCATGTTTGCATATACTTAGCTATCCTTAGAAGCCTCTAATGTAAACCTCTAGATACACAGCTAATCTTATTTCAGGTCAGATCTAAATGCCACACACTTATTCAGAGATTCATGCGTTTTCAACTCAAGTAATGCACAATGAAATAAAATGCAGTGAACAGCAAGCAAAAATCAAGTCCCATCTTTGTCTTCATTCATTGATGTGTAGTGAGTGAGATATGCTTGCTGTGTGCACACGTAATAGACAGTGAGTTGTGTATGAGGTCACAATACCGCATTAACTATTGACCTGTCTGGCAAGCTATTCTGTGTCCTTACGCTAGTGAGACCTCTTTTGTTTGAATGCATTTTTGAATGGGTAAGTATTTTTCTGACCACAGTCTTTGTTTGGAATTCCACCGCAAGGAATTTTTCTTTCTACGTCTGCGTGAGTCTGTCAAAACTGGGCCACAATGGCAAGGCTGTGTCTGCAGCTGGCCTCCAGAGGTATGGCTAGGTCTATAGGTCTATTGTCAGGATGCCTTCGCATTATTTCCAATGGATTGAAGACCTAGACAACATATTCGAATGCAGCCTAACAGTCGAGTGGTATTGGCTAGCCAGTACCGTTCTGAATCCATCAGAATAACTGTTATGGCTGTGGATACCCCCAGCTGTGTCTTGCCCTCGTGCAGGTGGGGCATCACTGCACCACCGGCAAGAAGATCTCAGCTCTGCGTCACCTTGCCTATGGATCAGTAGCCATAGCCAGAATCCTTGTAGCCATAGTGAGAATCCTTGTGACATCCGGTTCTCTTCGCAGGCTCTGTACGGATCCTGATAGCCACAGACGTGGCATCTCGTGGTCTGGACATCAAAGACATCACGCATGTGTTAAACTACGACTGCCCCAGCCACATTGAGGAGTATGTGCACCGAGTTGGTCGCACTGGCCGCGCTGGGTAGGATTTTTTTGTTATATGCTGCTAATGTCGGGTGGGTTTAGCATCAGGAACTTCCAGGGTTAGGAATAACCCTTCTAATGTTAAATTCAATTTGTGTGTAGATATGTATAATGGTCACATAACATGAAAGGATTGAGCATACCTGCTACTTGTGACTTGACCAGTCACAAGTAGCAAGTTTAACAATGATAACATGCTACTGCATTTAAATTGCTTGTGACCGAACCATTACAAGACTGGACACAAAATTAGACAGACTGGATGCAAGACTAGTCACTGGACAGTTCACAAGTAACTGGGGAAATATTGACAAAGGAATGCTTTTGTTGCAGTGCACTCGAATAGCTTGTGACTTGAATTCAGACTGGAGGTCTTGTGTGGGTCATGTGATGGTCTTGTGTGGGTCATGTGATGGTCTTGTGTCTGGAATACAATACTACTTGTGACTAGGCTCCAGACTGGAGACTTGTGATGGATATGTACAGACTTGGAGAGACTTGGAATGGTCTTGATGACGACACCTACTTAGGTGTAAGCATTTCAGAGATAGACTTGCGCTGTGCTGGCAAACGTAGAATCCTGAAAGTTGTTGCGTTTCCTTGTAGGCGCACCGGTACCTCATTAACCTTGATGACGCGTCGAGATTGGCGTTGGGCTGGTGATATCATGCGCATTATGGCTGAAGCAAACCAGGTAAAAAGATTGTGTTGAGGATTTACAGCTTATTTTATGAGACCTTCACAGGTGCAAAGAGTGGAAAGCTGAAACCTTGTACAGTTCTGCTAAGTTTTTGTTCCACATATGCTTTGGTATTTTACATTCAAATGTACATTCTTCACAATGTGTCATCCTACTGAGCAATTTTAACATATACATATTTGTCACATCAAGCCAGCATATAGACATTCACAGCAGCATTTTTTGTTAGAGGCAAAAATTAAGACTCGGCCCAAGTAGTTTTGTTGGACAGCTAACATTTTGTCCAAATGTGACTTCACGGAGCATTGTTAATGAAGGTTGGGCACAAGCAACAGTTCTACCACCGGTTAATTTCTTCTCGTCCTCGTAAAAACAAAAGTTGTCTCACTCAAATGGCCCCAGTTAGACCTTTTTTCCTGATATGATTGTCACTTACATGTTGCCATTGGTTGTGACTCTTACAGCCTTCATTGTGACTGACATCTTGTAAAATTACTTATGTAACAGTGCTTTCTTCTGAATGCAATTACAAAAAGGGCTATTGAGATCTAGCAATGTTACATTGCCCTAGGACCTAGTTCTTAATGGTCGACTAGACAAGCTATTGGTCTTGTGATGTTGGTCGAACTGTTAAAAACCGTAGTTGCTCAAACTTGCCCTTAGATGACATGATCAGACCCTGAAAGTCATGTGAGATGTGTGCATGCAGGTATGCTGGTCTTGTTGGACCTGTGTACAACGTAACAGAAGTGTGCAGTGTCAGTGAGAAAAGAGGTGTTTTCATAAAATGTGCTCACTTCTATTGCCCATCTTGCCTTCAGGAAATCCCAGATGATTTGATGGAGATGGCGGAAAGGTATGAACGTCACAAAGAGAAGAAAGAACAGGAACGCAGCCTGGAGAGAGAAAATGGCGGGGGAGGTGGTTACAGACGGGATGGGAACCAGGGAGGGGGTAGAGGGTACAGGGGAGGGAGTCGAGAGGAGGGTTACTGGGGTGGCTTCAGCAGCGGAGGGCTTGGGGGTGGGTTTGGGTTTGGAGGTGGCCGTGGCCGGGGTCGAGGAGGGAGGGGAGGCCGGCGAGGCGGTGGGAAGTATGATGCCTTCGATGGCTTTTTCATAAGCTAGTGGCAAGGTTTCTGATGAGATGATGTTTGTTCTAAATGGTGCTGTTCAGTTGTACCCATCAACCTGGGACCACTTTGATAGAGTTGCTATCCATTAAATATGTGCTAAGTACAGGAAAAATTTGCTTAGCAAAAGCTGGTTACCAGTCCACAAAGCACATGTTGAGGATCTTTTTTGACTGGTTGCCAGCTGGTTTTGCTCAGCACATCAACCTGATAAGTAGTGTTTGTGCTGAGAAGGTCCGTTAAACTGGGCCCAGACTGGAGATCTTATATCTCATGGAGCTGTTGCTTTGTGCCCACCGAATTGACTGGAGATCTTGCTGTGCAATCAGTCAATATTGCTGTTAAGTTTCTCAGGGTAATTGGGGGAGTTGTTTGTCTAGTGGTGACTCTTTTGGCTATCACAACAGATGGCGTGAATATCTCCGACAGATCCTTGGATTCGTCTAGTGCCATGACTGGGAAAGGTCAACCACTGTCAGTTCAATCATACTGCCAAGTTCATTTAGGTTAGTGTGTTTTGTTGTTTTGCTGAAAGGGTTGCCTGTCTGTGTGTGTTGTATGTTTGAGTGTCTGCCATGGTCATGATGTATTGCAATACAGACTTTTGCTTCACTTTCGTAGCAGTGTTCTGTTTGCAAATCTGACCGATTACGCCTCAGCTTTGAGGCATCTCTTCAGTTTAATTGATGCATGAATTGTTCTGTGAAGAGTGCATTCTTTTCACATTGTTCCAACGGTGAATATTGGCAGTTTGACTGCAGCTGAAGTTTGTAGGTTCCTTTACTTGTATTAACTATTCAGGAAAAATTAATCAGGGGGGTCATTGTCACTGTGTAACCCTCAAATGAAGGCAGTGCAGTTTGAGGGGGGGAAGACCGTGGCAGCTATGTACATCACCAACATGAATAAAACATTATAACAGTGTGACACATACCAAATTGTATAAGCATGCCACTCTAAAGGCCAGAGATGATTTTCGTGAAGCCTGGACCATTCAAAATTGTTGCACTTGCAATTCTCACATGCATTCATGTTGACAACTAAAGTCAAGTTGGATCATAGATGTCTTCCTGTCTGTCGATACTGTCAGTAGATGACCGACATGTTTGGGGCTTGCCTTCAAACTTTTCTCTCCTTTTTTGACCTGTTTCCAAACACTTGTAGGCTTTTAAAATCCCGTGTTTTCCAAATTTGCAGAAAGATTGATCAGCTCTCACTGGTTAACTGGTGGGAAATTTCAGGAAACACTTTTCACCTGTGAAAAAAGTTTGAAATACCTCAGTCCCAGTATCCCCAGAATTGTGAAATTGAGTTTCTCTCCTCACATAGAAATCTTCAAACCTTGTCAGTGTTCACTGAGACATCAACATGTCACACTTCATTAGCTTCTCAGCTGTATAGAGAACTGAAGTCATTTAGAACTAAGAAGTATTGTTGCAAACAAACGGAGGTGGGTGCGTTGGTTCACCCACTGGTTCATGTGGTAATGATCTTAACACATAATTCTGTGTGGGACATATTCACTTTGGAACTCTATATCAGAAATAGCCAAGACGATCATTATCCCCCAACCATGTTACCGACCCAGACAGGCTAGTCCATAATAGATGAGTCTAACCATTGATGATTGGCCAAGATTTTATCTGTTAGTCCAGCTGCCACTTGCCATTGTCCTCGTGCCATCATGCTTAATGCTTTTGAGTACAACCCCAAAACATGGTACTTGCTTGCAAGTTACTTTTGGTTCAGTTTGCAGTTTGGAAATAGGAACCAAATGTATGCACCTACATGTCAATAATGAAAACCATCAATGTTCATTTTTTAATGATTTTGTTTGTTTCATACGTATTTGTGTAGTTAGGTATTTTTATTTATTTTGTGAATTTTGAAAGTTTTCTTTTCATATAGACATGTATTTGTGTGGTTAGTGTTTGTCTTTTTTCAGAGGCGCTGTCAAAGAAAATGTCTGCTGTGTTGATGAAAACAACAATTTGTTTAGGCACTGCATTAATGTGCTGCCATTTACGTTGCCAGTTTTTTTTACGTTGTGAGACTACTCTACTTGTATGGCTTGTCATTGTATGGCTTGTCATTGTATGGCTTGTCATTGTATGGCTTGTCATTGTATGGCTTGTCATTGTATGGCTTGTCATTGTATGGCTTGTCATTGTATGGCTTGTCATTGTATGGCTTGTCAT